TGCATCAGCAGGATTTAATCAGATCAAAATCGACTGGTTTTGGACTTTCTTGGAGGCACATCCTGTTTCTGTGCTTCAGATTTGATGCATTTCTTCCTCTGCCCCTCTGAAACGCCCGACACAGAGTCAGTTGCCAGCTTCGATTTTCTGGAGTTTAAGCTAAAGGTCTTTTTGTGTCTCCAATCAATCGCTGGCTTTTCTTCATTTGTCTTCACTTTTATGCCTGACGGATGGAAATCAAAGCAATCCTGAGGGTGTCGGACTTCTTCTTTTTCTTTTTTTTTTACTATTTGAGGAGTTAAAAGGCATTTTCTGAGAACAGGATTGACGGAAGTGGTTGAGATTTTTTCATTTTCATGTATTTTGATGAAGAGAAAAACAAAAATTACACAGAAATGTTCAGTATGGTGTCACTTCTCCTGTGGCCCCTCTGGATGAATTAGATTGGGTCTTTTGCATCTTCCTTCTGTCTTGCTATCCAATTGATTCAGTTTGAAACCTTTAAGCCCCCAAATAGTAATTTGACATCTGTTCTAGTAGAAATAAACGGTCACTTTGGAACCATTGAATGGCTTCAGGTTACTTTCTATTACACAACAGCTGATTTCCCTAAATTATTTCTACAGGTTTGGTCCATTTGGTCCTCATTAGAAATATGGTAACCGCATTGTGTGTACTTGAAATCTGCTGTGTGTATCAATTCAGACGGCATAGAGTACAAGTAAACCCTACACTAGTTGTAAGTATTACATGTGAAGCCCTGTACTTTGGGTGTTGAACCATCCCAGTCTGATGTTTTTATGCCATTTATACTGTATACAGTATAAATGGCTTATGATGGCATAACCCAGAAGAGAATGAATATATATATACTAGGTTTCCCCCAGAAAACTGAGACCGGTGGTTGTGGTGCCAGCTGTCCGTCGTGTTTTTGAGTTAAAAAATATTTAAAGTTGACAGGAAATTTCAAAATATAACTTTATAATTATGTGTTACTGAAAGATTGGAAAATTAATACCTGAACACCAACTATAAAGTCTTTAAAAAATGCAAACATTTTAAAAAGACTTAAATATATCCTGATACACATTTTATTGCTTTTCAGATGGCATGACTGAAACGGAATAGAAGAAAATGTTGAAAGCTCTCCTCACCAAAGCAGTGCAAGAATGTCCCATTGATCTACAGCTACAATAGACTGACAGCCAAATGGTGGCATTTTATGTACAAGAGTCACATCTTTATATACAAGACTGTCATACACTGGGTTCCCCCCAGTGCATTATAAGCCTGGCGGGCCACCAGGCTTTACTTGTGCCCCTACCAGGCTAAGCGTTGCTTATTTTTTGAAGTCTTTTTAAAATATTTGCATTTTTTAAGACTTTATAGTTGGTGTTCAGATATTAATCTTCGAATCTTTCAATAACACATGATTATCAAGTGATATTTTCATATTTTCTGCCAACTTTAAACATTTTTAACTCAAAAACACAACGTGCCGCTGGATGAATGGCTGTCCTACTGCCCCAACCACCGGGCTTAGCAGGTTTTCTGGGGGAAACCTTGAATAGGTGCTGCTAAATACGCCTCCAGAGTGCAGAAATGAGTCAGTTCTGCATTATTTTGTTTGAAAGTTTAACTTAAGTATACATCTGTGTCTTTAACATATGGCCTATGGGGCACATTGTGCTTCAAATTGGATTTTAAACAAAAAGATAAGTTCAAACAAAACAGAGTAAAATCTAAGCACCAATTATAACTAATGGGTTGGAAAGATAAGAGTCTAAAATGGTGAGACCACAAACCAGAATGTTGAAAGAGCCATTTCCCTTCGCCGTCTGCACTGAAAATATCATTTTAATTGTATAATCAGCATCATAACTCATTTTATTTTATTTTTTTTTTTTTACAAAACATATGACCAAAACGACAGCAATGATCCAGGTCTCTAAAAATGCTGCGCAGACATTTCCTGCACCGTGTTTTACAGCTATGATTGTCTGATTCCACTCAGCATTTTATTGTCGAGGTCCACTGGATCTGCAGCTTGATTTGCTGTCTTACATCTGCTGCTGTTCTGCTGCACACTCAGTCCTCTGCAGGAAATATCTATCTACTGTTTTAACATGTTTAAGGATTCCTGAGCAGATTTAGTTCTTCTGCTGTCATCAGTTTAAACACCATTATCTTTGAGAGACTCCCGTCTTTGGTCTCATATCTGATTCCTTTGATTGGAATAATCCAATCTTCTCTGATTGGTTTTTCTGCAGGTCTGATTTCAAACCTTTGTTGTCCTTCATTCATGTTAAATTTAATCTGCTGAAACTGAAAACTGCAATTTTTTTTCTATGTAAATACCAATAAGCGTAGTCATAGTAGGGGAATATGATTAGAATAGTGATAAATTTGGATTTTTCTACATTTTCTGTTGGATTCAAACTAGTATGTCTAACAAATAACCTTTTTCTTCTTTTAGATTGAAGCCAAAAATGTGAATCAGAAGTTTCCATTCTCATTTTGTAAGATGAAATAATGCTTTTTAAAATCTCACTTAAGCTGGATTTATGGATTAGATTTGTGCTTTAAAAATTATCTGTTTAAATACTGAAAGGTTTACTAGTAGACCTAAAAAAAGTTCATAAGTATAACTAGGCCTATCGTGATAAACGATAAATCAATTAATCGCACGATAATTAAACCTGTCGACCTCATTTTAATTATCGGCTTTATCGTCTCTTCCTGCCTTTTTTCTTTCTCTTGATTACACTGAATGACAAAAAGCTCCGCTCCGGTGCTCTTCACTGACCCTCCCTTCCTCATTTCCTTAGTGTAATGTCCAGCGCACAGGACACGAGTTGTCGGCCCATTTTCAAAACCTGAGACCTCACTTTAGCCGACAGAAATCCTAGGCATAACGGTTCGATCGGGTTCGATTGTGCTGTGTGGTGTCCAGCCACACAGCCATTATTTTGGACTTGTAGCACAAAATAATGGCTACAAGTCCAGTTAACTAATTTTAAAACCAGGCATTAATCAATGCTTTACTAGAATCTACCTGTGATGCATGTGGCTAGAGTCGGCGTAAAGTCATAACTGACTGAAAATCATTATAACCTATTTAGTCACGTTCAAGAAGAACAGCTGAAAAGTTACCAGGTTCATCAACTGCGGTAGCAATTGGGCTCCAACTCCTCTCCTTGTCATTTCTATATTCTTTGCACGAAATGTTGAATAAACATTAATGTTGTTTCCACATATCATCTCTGATGTCCGCTGGACTTGGGTTGCCATATCAGCTGTTTGGGATTCCCCTCCGTAATTTCCCCTCAGAAAGCACGGAGGAGAATCCGCGCTTTCTGATTGGCTACCTGTCACATTCAACAGGCTGTGTTAAGCTCCCAGTCGAGGGAAACCCCTGATTTAGATCGGAGCGGCCACAACGATCTACATCACACTGCAGGATGATCGGTTACGAAATCACCAGCGGCAATCTTAGATCGGCCAACGATCTAAGATTATCATAAGGAGAAAATGGGGGCAAAAAATCGTGTATTATGAATGACTGCATTAGATAGTCAGATGTGCCCATCTTCTTTATTTAAATCTAGTGATTACTAAAGGGTAATATAGTTCAGACTTCATAATCTGCACTCTTTTGGTTGAATGCAGTATTAATTTCCACTCTGGCTTTGTGTTGTTTAGTTTTTATTCAAGTACGTTTTTTGTTAATGGAGACTGAGAATCCATTTTATTTTTGTTTTTGTTTATTTAGTTTATCAGTTCCAGTTTTATGTGTTCTTTTGAAAATAGTGTATTTATCTATGGCAGGAAATCACATGCATTATTAGTAATTTCCATTAAATCAGTGTCAAAAGGTCTTGAAACAATATTATCGTTTATCGGAATACTTTTTTTAGACAATTAATCGTCCAGCAAAATTTGTTATCGTGACAGGCCTAAGTATAACATTTGTTCTGTTTTTCAGGTGTGAAAATGGGAGAAAGTGATTATTGAAACATATTTGATGTTAATCAGGGAAGCAGCCAAAAAATGAATCGTAAATGGGAATAATTTGTACATGCCATTTAGAGGATCCAGAAAACTTGTGGAAGACGTTGCTCTAATCAAACCAAAACTTTTTGGAGCAGAAAGTAAACAACCTATCCCTGAGATAAAACATGGTGGTGGCAGCATCATGCAGTGGCAGTGCAGGGAAGCAGATCATTGATGGAATGACTGATATTGTCAAATACAGAACAATCCTGGATGAAAAGAGTTTAATTTTCCTTCCTTGTCATAATTAATCACTGTGTATTACTGCCAGTACTTTTCGTGGGACTGAATTTCTTTTTATTTATGTATTTTTTGCCAGTATCTAATATTTTGTTGTGTACATGGAGCAATGGCCAATCAAAATGGCGACTAAAATCTGCAGGATGAATGCTGAAAACAAGCAGCTCTGTAATAATTGTGTTGAAGTTTTAATGGAAGTAGTTCAATAAAGCGGTGTCTCTTTATGATGTATGGCAGATTCATAAGTGCAATATTTTTTTTGGCCCTCATCCGCATCGCTTCCCATCAATTAAGTAAGGTATTACCATCCTGGACGGCGAGACGAATCCCTGCGTATTTATTGTACCTGCCTTCGATTGTGAATCTAATTGCATTTATTGAGCTGAGAGGTGGGGGGAGAAATTGCCTTTTGACGGCGAGATTCCAGTTACTCCTCCTTGATTAATGATCTAATTTGTCATTACATGGAGATGATGAAAAGTGGCCTTCTCTCGCTACAAAAATAAAGCGCTCGGCTCATTCTTTACCCATTTCATACGGCGATGTTCGCTTAGCGTGGAGTTTTTTTTTTGTTCCTTTAGTTTCATGGTTCATTAAGATGAGTGAGTGCTGCCTCTTCATTGTTTACACGGCTAATACTAACAGTATTAGTTGAGTAATTTACGGCGGTAAAACTGTCATGCTTTGTTGTTGTCTTTGTCCTGCAGGTGGGATACGAGAACGCGGGAACCGTGGAGTTCCTGGTGGACAAACATGGAAAACACTACTTCATTGAGGTCAACTCCCGGCTCCAGGTCGAACACACGGTCACCGAGGAAATCACGGAGTAAGTGGCGGATGTTTATTTGCCAGGATGGCTTTATGCTGCCGGGCAGCCGCGCAATTGTGGCGGTTGTCATTTTGCATGAGCGTCTGGTTGGCGTCGTTTTTCTGCCTGACAGGTACGCCGCTTGAAGGTTGGAAGGTTTCCATTCTGGGAGTTTGCAGGATTTGTGATTTAAAACTGGGGGAATGTGCGGAGCAGGTGCGGAGTCGGGAGCAGACTCAACATAGTGCGCGTCAAACGGGAACAAAAAGAGAGAAATGAGGAGGTGTGCAGGATGGGAACAAAAGAAAGGACTGACGAGTGTAGAGGAAAATATTTTATGGATCTGGGAAGCCGAACAAACAGGCCTGAGATCTGAAACAGGGGGTCAGATTGAGTGAGAAACAACAGGAAGCATAATGGAAGTTATAAATAGCTCTCTGCTCCACTGATGATCTGTGCGATTTGCTCGGCTCAGACGACACAGATGGGTCTCAGGCTGGTCCACAAGATGAAAACACAAACACATAAAGCGCCTCAAGTTTATCCCACAAATCTTTGCTCAGCATTGCACATTAAGAGTTTTCAAATTAATTTATAACTCAAACGTCACCGAAGCAGGTCCGGTTATAAAGCAGCGCTGGTTCTGGAACCAGTTCTGTCAAAGTCTGGTTTGGATTTCTACACATTGAGAAAAACACCTTGGCACCATGGCATGTCAAAGAAAAGTTTAGTCAAGAAAACAATTTCAATGACGATACCAACATGGTTTCCTCAGGACATTAAAAATGATTAAATGGGTTTTGTTGAATTTAAGGCCTTAAATGTCATCAAAACTGAATCTCAGCTGCATTAAAATTCATTAGTTTAAAACAAAAAAGTGTTCA